CCGCCGCCGTCCCGCGCTCCATCCCCGCGAGGGTCCCCGGCCTCGCCGTTCTCCGCCGGGAGGTGGGCGCGCGGCGCACACTGCACCCGCAGCGCCTGGGCTCGCGAGCGCTCCTGCAGGTCCGCGCCTCGGACGGCTCCTAGTGGCCGAAAGCCTGCCCCCGCGCCCGAGGCATCCCGTTTTCTAGCCGCGCCAGTCCCCACCCTCCAGACAGTGCATAAAGCCCTTTAGCCCCGACCGCCCCGGAACTAGCATGCGGGAATCCGGCAGGGCAAGCCCCCTGACGCCCGGCCCGCCCCTTGCACTTTGCGAGGGGTGGGGGGGAGGAGAGTGGGCTCTCGAACACACGCACGCTCACACACGCACACTCCACACACGCGCGCTCACACACGTGCTCAGCCAGGCGCACACGCTCCTCGCTGGACACGAACTGACACCGCTGCGCACGCCCCGCGCGCGCTCAGTCACACGCGCGCACATTCCCCAGCCACAGCTCAACATCGACACGCACAGGCCCACTCCCGGGCGCACAGGCTCAGTTACGCGCGGGCACGCGCACTGACACGCGCACACGCGGTACCGCCACCTCTCCGCAGGATTTGCCCCCCAAGGAAGCCCGCGGGGCGGCTCACGGGGACATCTGCCACAGACACAGTCTTAGACACTACATGAGCAAAGGAAAGGAATGGAGAGGGGGGGAAGGCGTGAGCAGAGAAAGAAAAAAATAAGAAACAGATAAAGAAAGTCAAGACGATTAAGAAAAGAAAAAGAGGGAAAGAAGGGCAGGAGAGAGTCCAGGGAAGGAGAAGGGAGAGCCTGCTAGAGAGATCTGTGACCTTCATTCCTGGCCTGAGCTCTCTAGGGTCCTTCGGATACCTTGGCTGCCCCGGCAGGGAACAGACGGCTGAGAGGCGAGTGCTCTGTGTTTTTACAAATTAGAGAGAAGGTCGGACTGTCGTTGGGCGGCGGCTGGATCCCTTGTTTAGCTCTTCTTAAGCGCCACATCAACAGGTGTCGTGGCCAGATGGCGCTCCTTACAAGCCTGTCCATTTTGAAGCAAAGTTGAAAAGAATGAACGTGTACTCCGTGGTGCCCGTTTGAAAGAGGGAGAAGCACAAGGGATTCGGAAAACCCTGCGGCTGCCTTCTTTGGGGCCGCGTTGCACCGGCTGGCAGGGGCCGGATCCCCAAGAGCCCCGCGAGGGAACCTCACGGGCGCTCTCAGCTCACGGTGCTCAGCCTGCACGTGACACCGAGCCCATGGAAGAAAAGGAGCAAAGCTTATTTTCCAGTGCCAGGAGACCCGAATGAGGAGGGGCTGTTTCCGAGCCTCCCGCCCCGGCCCCTGAACCAGCTCGGCAGCGAGCCCCGGGCTCCGGGTCCAAGGCGTCAGGGGCCGATTTTCCTCAGGCGAGGGAGCCGTGATGTAGGGAGGGGACAGCCCTGTATCCGCCAGGTCCCTGGGCAGGTTCCGACGGCCTCATCCCCTCGGGGGGACGAGAACCTGCCAGCTCCCGTCAGTCTCTTCCCGGAGCACCGACCCTCTGGGTGCTCTGCTGACCCCAACAGTCTGGATCGCGTAGCCTCGGCGGGCTTTGATTGGTGCCGTTTTGAGGGGGGTGGGGAGCGGAGGGAGAGGTTGGGTGTTACTTTCGCAAGACGAAAAGAGAGAGAAACCGACACGGAAAAAGAAAACGTAGACTTGAAAAGAAGAGGGTTGTGGGCAAGGGCGCGGGGGGAGGGGAGCGGTTCTGGACAGGGACACGCAGAGGTCTGTGGTCTGGCCAAAGTCACTGGATCTCTGCTTGCCTCCCTGCCCTGTGCTGGGCGCTGCGCGGCGCGGAGGCGGCGGCAGGATTGGGGACCGGAGGGAGGAGGGCGGGGGGAGCGCTGGGGAGTGAGGGGGACGACCCTCGTGGGAGGAGGGAAGCGGCGAGGGGCAGCAATGTTGCACTCCAGTCTTCGCGGGTGATTTATGCCGGTTCCCGGCGGCCGGGGCGATGGTACGAGACCGCGCCGGGGTCAGGCCGGCCCGACGCTCGCTGGGGCCGCGCAGCATAATCAATGAGCGTCCCCGCACCTCCGACTTACAAAGAGCGACGGCGGGCGGCGGGGAGGCGCGCGCCCTGGCGGGCTGACTGGCGGGCGGGCTGGAGGAGGACTGCATGTGCGAGCGGGGACCGGCTGCCTCCCGTTGCGCACGTGGGCATCCGCGAGAGCGCGCGCGCGTGCGTGCGTGCCTGCGTGTGTGTGAGCCTGTGTGTGTGTGCGCGCCTGTGTGTGTGTGCCTGTGTGTGTGTGTGTGTGTGTGTGTGTGTGTGTGTCCTTTCACTGTAGCAGCCGGGGCTCCAAACATTCCTTTCTGCACTGAAGGGTTTTCCTCATTGTTGTTGCCTTTGTACTCCAGTGTTGCCAACTTACTGGAATTCCTGTCGTGATTGCACAGCGGGGCTCAGGCTGCCCTTACTAAGCCAGCTGCGTTTGTGTATGAGGCCGACCCTGCCGTTAATCCCAGAATAACGCAGAAGAAGGGGGGAAAGGAGGGAGGGGGAACGGGAGGTAGGGAAGCAGAAAAAGGGCAGGGATGGGGGACCACCTAACGGAGCACCGTCCGTCACTCCCAGCACTGTGTGTGTAGACCCATACTCTTCCACGAGAAAAACCCAGTCTCTCAATGCCGTCTCAAATTCTTGACCCTTGACAACAGCCTGCACCGTGCACGTGTTTATTTCCCGCACCTATACCTGCCAGATTTGGGGGATTTGATTTATGGACCAGCATCTGGAAAAGCCCAGGTTAATTCAGTTCTGATTTAGACAAGTAGTGTGTCTTTATAATGCAAAAGGGTAGTTTATTTTTCACATTGCTCTCTCCGTATATGTATATAGGACTTTTCAGAGCAGCCAAAAGAGACAGAGGAAGGTGTTCTGAATGAAAAGTGAAATTCATTCTGGTAAATTTATGTTGACTTCTTTAATATATTTTTGTTGCTTATCTATATTAGTTTACTTATTTATCTCAACACCAAATTACCTGGGATAGTTTAGAGCATTTGTTCTTGTTCTGAACTAGCTTCCTGCAGGGAATATTAAATTTTAAAAACTCCTTGAGTAAAATCCAACTTCAATTTGCTGTGATTCCAACCCAGGTTTTCCTCCTGAGTGCCATAAAACCAATTGACCGTGTGCTTTAACATACAGCTCCAATCCCATATCCTAAAATCTCCAATTCAACAGGATGGAGCCTGAACCATAAAGCTTCAGCACCACCATCCCTCCCAGAGGCCAAACAGAAATGTATGACATTCTTGACTCCTCCCTCTTTGCCCCACCCCCACATGCAATCAATCATGATATTCTGGCCGGGTGCAGTGGCTCACTCCTGTAATCCCAGCATTTTGGGAGGAAGAGGCAAGAGTATTGCATGAGTCCAGGGGTTTGAGACCAGCCTGGGCAACTTGGTGAGACCTCGTCTTTACAATAAATAAAAAATTAGCCAAGCATGGTGGCACACGCCTGAAGTTCCCGCTACTTGGAAGGCTGAGGCGGAAGGATCACCTGAGCCCAGCAGGTCGAGGTTGTGATGGCTGTGAGCGTGCCACTGCACTCCAGCCAGGGTGACAGAGCAAGACTCCTACTCAAAAAAAAAAAAATCATGAAATTCTGTTAACTCAAATTTCTCAATTTTCTCATTTATCTCTCAAATCTACCCACTTTTGTCAATCTCATTGTCAGTAGCCACCAAGCTCTCTCATCTCTCTCACCTGAATTATGGCAAGAGCCTTCTCATGGGCTCCTTGCTATCAGTTTTGCCCCCTCCCATCTATTTTTCATTTTGCAAACAGATGATTCAAAGTGATAGTTCCATCAGACTGTGCTTTCAAAGAGAGGTCATTACTCATTAAAGGGTTGTGAAATCATTTTAGTGGGTCAAAGCAAGAATTATATTAAAATGAAATAGAGGCCAGGCATAATGGCTCACACCTATAATCCTAGCACTTTGGGAGACCGAGGTGAGAGGATTGCCTGAGCTCACGGGTTTGAACCCAGCCTGGGCAACTTGGTGAGACCTCATCTCTACAATAAATTTTTAAAAACTAGTCAGGCATAGTGGCATGTGCCTGTAGTTCCAACTACTTGGAAGGCTGAGGCAGAAGGATCCCCTGAGTGCAGCAGGTTGAGTCTGCAGTGGCTGTGAGACTCTGACTCAAAAAAAAAAAAAAGAAAGAAAGAAATAGAACAAAATAGAAACTAAAATAACTTTCATGTGGAAACAATATATATTACTTCATAAAATTACTGTTTTAGGCCAGGCAAGGTGACTCATGGCCTATAATCCCAGCACTTTGGGAGGCCGAGGTAAGAAGATTGTCTGAGCCCTCAGGTTCAAGAACAGCCTGGGCAACTTAGCAAGACCTATTCTCTACAATAATCAAAAAATTAGCTGGACATGGTGGCCCGTGCCTGTAGTTCCAGCTACTTGGAAGACTGAGGTGGAAGAATCACCTGAGCCCAGCAGGTCGAGGCTGCGGTGGTCAAAAGCATGCCACTACACTCCAGTCTGGGTGACAGAGTGAGACTCCAACTCAAAAAATAAAATAAAATAAAATAAAATGACTGTTTCAGTGTGTGTGAACATGTAAAATATTTTTCTCATATGCATCTTAGTCAAAAAAGTTTGAGGTATCTCTCCACAAATTACTTATGAATTAAAAAGGGACAAAAGTAACCTTAAGCAGAGAAACTTGGAAGATATTTTAATAGGTTTTACATAAGTAAGGAGACAACTGCCATTGAAAATATGGTTTATTATAGTCACAGATCCCAAGAGAGATAGTACATACACACTTCATGCCACAAGAGATACAGAGAGGCAGAGGGAAAAGGTGGAACTGTGTGCAAGCTCCTTTACTGTGGTTTCCATCTAAAGAAACAGACAAGGCAGAGTAAACAGTTTTAGGATTGACTAATCTGTATTTGGAAAACAGTCAAGAGTCAGGAGATCAAGGCAAGATGACTCAAGCATATTAACAGGTTGTCCAGAACAAGGTGTATCTGGCATATGCATGCAGGACAGATGTTAAAGCATTAAGTTTACAAAAGCTAGAAATGTAAAATACAATAGACACTACACTGAACCAAGAAATCAGAGTTAGTACAACAACCAAAGCTAATATGATACAAACTAATATATGTGCCTCCTGATATGATGAACTCTGAAGGATAGAGCAGCACTTTCAAGGTTTTTACTGTGGTATTACTTTGCATAACCTGACTCTAATCATGAGAAAATATCAGTCAAACCAATGTTTTCTCAATTTTTAGAAAGCCCAAACTGAGAAACATTCTTGTATTAAAGTATAGTCTTTGAAGACTATCTCCTTTACTTTAAAAATGGCAAAGTTGACCGGGCACACCTATAATCCCAGAACTCTGGGAGGCCAAGGTGACAGGACTGCCTGAGCCCACGGGTTCGAGACCAGCCTGGGCAACTTGGCAGGACTTCATCTCTACAATATATCAAAAAAACTAGCTGGGCGTGAAGGCACATGCCTATAGTTCCAGCTATTTGGAAGGCCGAGGCAGAAGGATCACCTGAGCCCAACAGGTCAAGGCTGCGGTGACCGGGAACATGCCACTGCCCTCCAGCCTGAGCCACAGAGTGAGACTCCAACTCAAAAAAAAAAAAAAGGCAAATTATAAAAGGCAAAGAAAGGCTGAGAAATGGTTTAGAGATATGACAACCTAATGCAGTGTGCAACCCTAGGACAGATCTTGGACTGGGAAGTGTCTCCAAGGGTCATTATTAGGAAAATCAGACATGACCTCCTAACTTTGTTTACTTCTCTCGGCTCAGCACTTGTCACACTTGTTTCCCATGGCCTGAAAGTTCTTCTCCCTCTGCTGCCAGAATAATCTTTCTCGGTCATATGCATATTGCATCACTTGCCTGATTATAACATTTCCATCATTTTTCCATTATTTTGCAATAAAATCCAAAGCTTTTAGCCTAGTCGATAAGCCCTTGCATGATCTAACTTTGACCACCTCTCAAACCTTGCATGGCAGTTCAGTCACACTGGCCTCCAAACTTAGTTCTTCAAAGGTACTATATGCTTTCTCAGTCTCGAAGGTGAGGTTAAGATACCTAGGAGAGAAAGGCAGAGGTTCACTGAGTTGCCTGAGATCCTGACAATGCTCCAGGTCTAGATCCTAAACTAGTATAGACTTACAAACAAACAAACAAACAAAAAACTCCTTTTGCTTGTGTGAGCTTGAGTGGATCTCTGCCCCTAGCAAAACAGAGTTAGACTGAAACATCAAAAACTACCAAAAAGACATCGTAGGGCATCTCATTTACTAGGCAGCCCCAATATTTATGATACTTTTTTCTTGAAGCCTGTTCTTTAAAATAATAATAGCAACTTTGGACTTGCCAACATCAGGACCAGAGGTTCAGAATCATAAATTACCTGCATATTTCTAGTGTGAAACCAAAGCCAGGAAAGCCACAGTGACCTAAAAGGACAGCCAATGCTGCAACTGTACTTTCCACACCAAAAAATTGTGACACTAGGTATAATATGACAAAGAGATTGTAATGATTGCAAGTAAGTTTATATGAAAAGTCTTGGTAAAGGTTTAAAGAAACAGCAGGGATTCTAACAAGTCTCACTGATAGAAAAAAAATTAAATAAAATTAAGACTTTCCCCAAAAAGTTCAGGTCTTAAAGATAATATTGCAGAAAGTCCTGGGAGTTAAGCACCTGGGGTTAAGCCAGGCACAAATGCTCCCATCAGGCCACAAGCACCAGAGTCAAGCACCTGTGCGGGGAGATTTTATAGTGCACAGAGAAGAGTTAGGTTGGGAAAATAGTAGTAGAGTCAAAATGGTTTGCCTCATTGCTTTTAAATTCCTCTCTCTTAGAAGCAGTTTATGCAGGTAAAGGTCAGTGAAAACATCTGGTGAGATAATGTCTTGAGAGCCAGAAGATGAATGTGATTCCATCAGTCCCACCATCCCTCTCTTATCTCAGAGATTGTGAAAGTGCTAGGGGTT